GAGTCCAAACAGCATGGCAGTGATGCAGATGAGCAGCTCAAGCACCAGGAATATAACCAGTGTTCCCAGAATACCATCAATCAACAGCTGGAGAAACATGAGAGAGTCGAGAACATATATGATCAGAAAACCATGTTTGTTTCAGTGACAGTGATCGTTCTCACAAAAACAACACATCTTTTGTCTGACCCAAACATACGTCTATCTTCTACATGCACGACTTCTAAAATATTCGTTATAACAACAGTCTGTCACTTACTTTACACTTTTGCTCGATCAGCCCGGTGCATTTCCTGAAACAATGTTGCTGCAGTGGACAGTAAACACAAAGAAACATAGTCTCCTTTTTAAAAATGTGCAGGTCAACTATGAATTTATGTGATTCTATTAAAGGAAAACTACATTTATACCCTGCTGACAGCTCTGTGCATCACATGCATCATCCATGTACGTGGCCGTGTGACAGTTTTACGTGGTCAAAAATCGACCGTGTAAAAAAGTTGCACTTCCTGTTTTCTACAACACATTCAAAACATTGGAAGCACATTCACAGACGATATCTTTTACCTTACAGGCCACTGTTGATATTTAACAGAGGTGCAGTATCAGCTTTAAGATCCACAGCATAGAAACAGGGCGGGGCTTAAAGGGAAGATCAGATGTAGAGGCTGCGATCACCTGATAGTCACTAAGCAGATGTTTCGTGAGCTGTGTGGCTAATTTTCCAGACACTACAAAGTTAGTAGAAAAGGTCGAATTCAGTGAGTGAATCTAATCAGAATCAACCTTAAATATAAATTGATGCTACTGTCGTGCACATTGGTGTAAACGTCACCACAATCCTGCAAACTGAGCAGTTTATCCTGCAGCAAACTTGTGGTGCAAAGTTTGTGTAGCACAAAATGAGCACATTTCATTTTGTTTTGCAAAATCATAACCCCAGCAGCACATCATGATCTGATGCAAGAACTTTAAAATGAATCAGGACAGTAAGTGTCAAATGTCCCTTTCTGATTGGTCCTTCAGTTTCCTGTTAATCTCTCCTGACGTCTTTCACCATCTGTCAACATTAACAACAACAACAACATTAACATTTCTTTCTATGCCCAGGAAATAAACAACTGTACGTTTGGTTAGCAGACATACTGCAACAAACTAACTCCACTGTGTGTTTGATGATGACCCCCCACTAAAAAACAAACAGAATTGTTTACGCCTGCTGCTGATAGATAAATCTAACACTATAAAGTGCAGATCATGACTTTATCTGTGCTGTGGCTGGGAGCAGATATAAAGTGGTAGCTCAGGAGGAAGCGCAGGTCAAGGTCGGTGGTTCAGTCCTGGCTCCTCCTAGTCTGAATGCCAATCTTGGGCAAGATATTAGCCCCACGTTGCTCTCCGATGCATCATCAGAGTGTGAATAGTAGATACAAAGATACAAAGCATAGAAACAGCGATTGTTGCGTTGTACGCTCTGAATAAAGCGCTGTATAAGAAGCAGTTCACTTACAGTGAACACGTGACAGGATGTGTTGATGGTGGAAGCGAGCGAATGTCTTTATGTTATTATCACTGAGCTGTCACCAAATACTACGTCCTCTGACAGTGATATATATTAACGTGCCTAATTGGTCATCAAGTGAAGGTCCCAGAACAACATTCTGGATCATTCCGGCACCTTAACCCCTAAAAAACTTTTTGTTGGCAGCTGGCCTTATTTCACATGCATTTGTTGAGGTTTTGCACTAACCATGTGACATTAACTCATGTGCCATTTTGGATGACAATCATGGTGACGATGTAGGATCAAATGTGGCGAGTGGATGCTAGAGATCGATGGCAGTCGCCAAATAGTTGCTAATAGTATGATGAAAGATTCAAAATTGTTCTAACCCTTTCACGCACCGTGGTCACTACAGTTACAGCTGTTCAAACGCTGTTTCCCTGTGTTTGTGTCAGTGTTGATGGTGTACTTGCACATTAACCACTACATTGGACACACTGCCACCCGCTGCTCGTTTAATGTGACTATAGATGTGCGACGCGTTTCATTGTAATCGTTGTTATTTAACCCTGTCGTGCATGAATTATGACAACCTCAGTCAGGATGTTTCTGAAGTATTCTCATTCATCTTTTCATGTCTAAAGATGAATAAGAATGCTTAAGTTAATCAAATTAATCAAATTACCATCAGCCAATCAGCCAAACTTGACAGCTGAATCTAGTTCAAGTGAAGTTTGAATTTGCAGTCTGCATGCACAGCTGTTTAACTGTCTGCAGCTGTGGAACATCTGGATTACATTCATGTCTGTGTAGCTTTTCAGCCCAGGTCAGGGTTGTCTTAGCTTGGAAAAAGAAGGCTCAGTGTTGTGTTTTGTAGGAGTAGGAGTAGGAGTATCTTGAAATTTTGGGAGCCCCCCCACAGCACTATGAAGCCCCAGTCATCCAGGCCCACAGACTGGTCAGTGACCCCCTGGCCACCACCGGATATCCCAACAAAAGCAGTTGCTCAGCAGGCTGTTCTCAATCAACGCTCAAGACGTCATATGAAAAACCTCCACAGTTAAAACGACAGAAAGAGGAAGTGCCAGGCTGACGGCTGCTGAGACGACTGTAAACGTACTTACTGTGTCTGTTTTTCTAGCTGGACTTTCTTTGATAAATATCTTTACAGCTTGTCCTGCAAACATTGTTTCAGTCTTGCACCAGGCAAGACTAATTTATCTCAAAGACAGCACAAAGGTCAAATCCCAGCATCTTAGCCCCAAACCTTTGCTGGTGTTTCTATTTGACAAACTGCATCTTAATGATATTATGTTAGACGTCCTGCAGATGCTGCTGCTAACCAAAGTGTAACACTGTGCTGCAGAGCCAGAGAGTGTCACACAAAGACAGTTAATATTCGGCCTTAAAATGTGGACACTCAGTAAGTGAATGTTTATGTGTTGCTAGCTTCTCTCTGTTGTTATTTAAAGACAATACCACAGCGTGTAGCTCCAGTTTGCGGCAGTGTTCACAGTGGTACGAGTCCTGGCGGTAGGGGAGGTGCTTGGACATCAGACCCAGGGCAGCGGTGGCGAACGCAGCACTGATGAGATGAAGCACCAGGACACATTTCACCTGCAAGCAACAATCGTATTATTCATACACAAACCGAGCACGACCTGTAAGGCTAACGTTTTACTGCTACGTCACGTTGAGTCACTTCTGACTGTCCAAACGGGAAGTACACTCCACCTTTAAAGTGTCCTCAACACTGATAACATGTTCATGCACGTTTTCATGAGCCCTGATTTCAGTTTGACGGGAGGAGTTTTATCCAGATGCCGTCGCTTATTCTCCTCCGTTCGTCTTTTTGCGACCTCTGCTTAGATGAAAACACTCATCTTACAATCCTTCATGTCTTGAAGATGCAGTTAAAACGTGCCTACATAGCAGGTGAACACTTTGTTCTCTTCTCGTCCACAAAGTTACAGCAGAGAAGAGTCGACTTTCAGTCAACAGTTTGATTATTCTGACAGTGTAAAGATCAGGGACACAGGTCTGCAAAAACACTTATATATTATTTTTGGCAAATCTGATGTTTTTCAGGGAGCTGAATCCAAAAATGACCTCTATTTCCCTCCACCATGTACAGCTGTTTTGGCAAAACGTGAGGAGTTTACATGAAAAAAGCACAACAGTGATGAAAAAAATCTATATTTTATTACAACTAACTACGAATAATTTTTCTTACAATTGAACAAAGAAAAAACGTTTCCTTCATGACATATTTAACGCTACATATTTACTCTTTATGTCTGAGAAACCTTCACACTTTTGCTTTCCATCCTCTGGTTCCCTCCTCGCAGTTTCCATTTGTATTTCTCTTGAGTCTCGCTCTTAGAAATATGAAATTAATATAAGAAATCATTTTTGGATATGTTTTTTTAATCAGTTTAAAAAGGGAAATTGTTAATTAAACTAAAAACAGGAGTTTTGCAAGAAAACCTGATGAGATGGAATTTTTAAATTATTTTTCCTGGTTTCAATCTAAATGAAACAGTCAGAAAGTCCTCCAGTTCTCTGGTTGCAGACCTGTGTTACTGTAATTCTTAAACACCCGACATAAAACCTGGATTAAAGCTGGAAGTCTACACTGCTAGTGAGCTGGTTGAAATGATTATTTTCATTATGGATGCATCTTGTCCTCGTCCACAGAAACAGAACCAC